TTTGCTGATTAAAGTTGGCTGGAAAGTCGGAAGGGAGCTCTACAAGCGAGAAAAGAAATTGTTAGCATAGAATTTATGGCTATACCTAACCCGCTTAACTGCAAATTGATGAGATCCCGGCGCCTGTGTAGTATTGCGCTTAAATTAAAAAAAGTCTAGGTACCAAAGCGAAGAGCTCATTCAAACAATTACTATAAAAGTTTTTATAGGATAGACAGAAAGGCAATTTTACGGCGGTGGGAAAGTGAATGAAACCGAGCCGCCAGATCAGGACGAATAATATTGCTGATTCTTCTTTGGATATTATCAAAGCGCTCAAGGTAAAGAGCAGGGGCACCGGACCATATTATATATATATATATATATATATATTTTTTAATGTTCTTACAGTTTTCTTTTACGGGGAAGAAGAGAGAGAGAGAGAGAGAGAGTCTACAATTGTCCTTTGTGATTATTGTCCTAAGCACTTTCAGACAGTTCATTAGACATTTTCAAGGGGTCTGTTGGTAGAACAAACACAGAAAAACATACCAAGTTTTGTTGCGCAGTAGTAATAATTCCATGTTGGAGTGAGTGTCTTCAAAAGTTCGCCAACTCGCACTTTACGTTCTCAAATAACGGAAAGTTGAGACTTTGCTCAAACACTTTTATTTTAAGTGGCTCAATTATCTTAAGACCTCTTAAAATTAGATATTCTTAGAATGACAGTCATCTACATCTAATTATGTATGGATGTTTAAGTACTCCTTTATCGGACTGGAATCGCCGTTTTGCTAGTTTTCATCTTAATTACTACTATGTGTGACCGATGTAGTTATTCAAATTTATTACAAGAGTCATTAGTGGTCGGAATTTTGTATTTGATAGGCACGTTTTTATTGGCAATTATAAGGTTAGCAGTTTTTAATTATCGATAGCATATTGTAACATCTGTTTATATATTGCTGAGATGAGGTATTTTAACTATTTACATCGTTCAGACTGCTGTCTTCATGTGGCACGAACAATCTACCCCGTGGACTAAATATAGGGTCAGTCTACCGTTTATCAACTGAAGAAGGCCAGAGTGTACATTAATGAAGGCATTATCACTTATATCTTACCATTATGTGGGAGGTATTTCTGCCGCATACAATATGATATCGATAGACAGGTTTTTAAAATCGTCTTTAAAAAGATTTAAAATCTTGATGCTGTTAGTTTTTGTTCCACTATTTGATGATCGAATTCATCATGAAAATGGTAGTAAAAACTTGTAAAGACTAGGATTTAAAATTTTTTTTTTCGTATTTAAATACCTAATTTTGTATTGGTTATCTTTTGATATTGCTTAATGATGACTAGAACAAAAAAATAACGTATAATTATCTGAAATATCCGTATAATTTGTAATATTACCATCACCTTGTTTGCCAGCAGATTTTACTTATTGCTCGTCTGGTGTTGTTGATATACTTTTTGTCCTCTTTACCTACGAGACTCACTTATTATTTAATAGTACGACCACCGAAGTTAAGCAATGTCCAACCTTGATTGGTGACCGCTTTGTAATCCCAGGTACTGTAAGCTTGGATGTGCAAATGGTGTAATGGCTCGGAATTGTTAATCGTAGAGCAGAGTTCGAATTCCAGTTGGGTTCGTTATATTCACATACGCGCAAATACCCTTGGGAAACGGTATTAATCCACCTCTTCTCTCCTTCAGTTATGGGTTAATTAGTAAGACCTGTATCCCTAAATTATTATCTCAAAAAAATCTTGTATTCTAAAAATATTTTCTACTTTTAAATAATCTGCAATGGGTTGGTAGTCCGCAGAAAACTAACCGATCAATTGTTTGGGGTTAAATGAGTAACGTGATGGTAAGAAAAGAAAGGTTATCAACAGCTACAAAGAAAAGGAAGTTGTGGAGAGCCATGGTCGCTTACCTCTTGAAATAAAACGGAAATATTTTTATAATTTGCAAAGATTTTTTTTATATATAAAATGGTATGGCTTTACTTTTTATTGTTTTATCAAGGACTAATGAGCTCTTGAAAATATGATTCCTAAACAATTGTGATAAATACTCCCGACGGACTTATCTTTCATTAGTTGAACTGATGACATTATAATGCTAATTCTTAAGCAATGATAATTCATTGCCGATTCACCCGACTGGAAGAAAGATATCGAAGTCAGGTTAGTTATATCAGTAGGTTACAGAACCTTATAGAGTAGAAGAAACAACTGAAATATTGCAAATGAAAAATAAAATTGACATTTTGATATAAATGAGAGACAGAACTGAAGCGGCAAAATTTCGTATATTATAATCGCTTCTTTTATTCTTTAAGGAGTAAAGCCAAAATGAAACGATGTATTTCTTCTACCTGTATTTTTTTAATCATTTCATCCTAAGCAAGGTGGGAATACCACTAGTATTCAAGGGATTTACAAAGATTAAAAGAGAAAAAACAGATTATAAGGAGGACTAAAGAAAGGACAAAAGATGAACGTCATTCAAGAAGATAGAAGATGGCGACTGACGTTGCATTTAATCTTTTGAAAATTGTAGTTATTAGGGAAGCAAGTAAACGGGGAAGAGTTCAACAGGAGGGAAGTATGAGAAAAGAACCTGTTGGAGTAGAAGCGGAGGTTACATTTAACTATTTCAACAGTAAAAGGGTGGGACCTAGATGCCAATCTAGTAGCACTCTTAAATTCATGTAACCGGGGCATCGGGGAAAAAAAAAAACTCGTTAGAGCAGTTGCCATGAAAATATTTGTGGAAAATACAGAAGCCATGTAGTGTCGGTGAGAAAGTGATTCTAGTCGAAATGACAAGTCAGGGTCGATTGAAGATCCTTTGAATTTTGTCAAAAACCTCGAGACGAAGACTAGACCAGACATGGCACCAGTATTCAAAGCACGGACGAATGGTAGATTTGTAAATGTGAGTTGATATAAGCAAAGAACGAAGCGCTTGTTTTAAGTTAAAATATACACTAAATGATTACAAGGGCTACAAACCTCCCAACCGATATACCCTTACTCATATTTTTGTCTTTACCAAATTGTCTTTGCGCTCACTTCTTTTTCAGATAGTTCGTTCTGACTATTTAAAACTTTGAAAAATCAGTGATAAAGATTATTTCACTAGTAAGGAGCGGTTTTTATTTTAAAATTAAGAATTGATGGAAGGTGGCTGTATTTGAGGAAATACAAGAACAGATTTTTTTGTATAAAAAAGACATTTTTTTCCTGATGTCTCCGGCTTCGCACCATTATGATATTTATTCCGGAAATATTTTCATCGAGACAGTCTTAAATTGAATCGAGGGGAATGGTAACGGTTCTGAAGTGGAGATTCAATTTACAATGCAAAACGCTAAATTGAACCCTGGTTTTGTACACAGACGTTCAATTTATCGCATGAATTGAAACTGGAGAAAAAAAAAAATGAAAACATTGTCCTCGTCTGTGCAAAATATGGCAGCAAGAGAAAAGGCAAGGCCCAATTGATATGAAACGTGAAAAAAATAAAAACAGTAACAGAAAAAAAAAAAAAAAAAAAATGGGAGTTGGAATAAAACCAATATTTCCAATTTAATAAATTGTTTTTTTGTTTGTTTTTATTACGGTGGCTAGAGCATATAGAATACATTTTCAGGGCCACACTAGCGTAAATGGGCACAGAAATCAAGGACCAATTTTTAACATTCAATTTTTCCCCCCAAAAAATAATTTCCGATGTGAATAAATTTTATAATTGAACAAAAAAAAAAAAAAAAATTTAAAAAAGAAGGCAACTTTTCATTCGAAGCTTAATTCAGTTGATAGAAACTTAATTTAAAACAATGTATGCCTGGAAATGTTCATGCATACAATGAAAGTTTAAAACTTTTCTCGGGCAAATCGACACCAGATTTTGCAATGTAGAAGATATTTGACGTATTCGCCAGACTAACTGTAAAAGAAAGGAAATGGATTAGCCGAAAACATTCTTGTAGTCAATAAACGAAACTTAATGTACTGAATTTTTCCTCTCAGGAATTTGATAGCTTGAGGACATTTAAATTGACTTGAGGAATTTTTTTTTACATTCATTTGAAATATAAAAATTATGGACATGAATGAAAACGATTGGCGCGCGCACACGCGTATGTAGGGGTGGGGGACTCCAAAGATTCGCTGAAGAATGAGCATATCTAAAAAATGTCCAAAACTTAAAACAGTTTTATATCGTCAAAATCTGACTTATTATTAAGAGGAAAAAAGCAAAGAATTTATGTAAAAATTGTTTCTAATCCTTTTTAGAACGTTTGAAATTTTTGTTTAATAAAACAAAAAAAACAAAAAAAAAGTCTTTCACTGATGACGTCAACAGGAGACCATAAATTTGGTACGAGAAATTTGAGTCTATTTGCATTGAAGAAACAAATTGATTTGGAAATTCATGCAAAAATCAAATAATTGTAGGGTTTTAATAAAAATTTCAGCACTTAAACGTTTATTTTTAGAAAGTCTTGGTAAAAAAAAATTTTTTGTATTTGTTACTCCACATTTAATTTTATGAAAATTTTTTATATTGTCGCTTAATATTTATTTATTAATTTATACTACATATAAGGAAAGTCATAGAACTTAAATATTTAAGGTCAAACAGGACACCCAATTACAGAAAACTGACTTTGAATTGTAAAATAAAAATGTACTAAAACTAGACATTAATTCGAAATGCTTTTATAAATAAAACATTATAGACACTCGCGTGAAAAATCTTTTTTTTTGCAAGAATCGTTTTCATTTTTTTTTTAAATTTATACATTTTTTTAAATCTTAAAATTCTGTATTAATTCGTAGCTATCAAGTGATATTATTAAATAAAAAATATATACATTTATTAATCATAAAGGGAAAAGCTTACAATTATTCAGCGACCCACATTAAAGAATTTTTATTTTAATTTGTGTATAAACAATGATTTTTATGAATTGTGAACATCTATACACGACATTATCAGGAAACAAGAGCTTTATAGAAAATTTAAAATGTATTGAATTAGTAAATTTTTTTTAACATTTCCTCAACAAACCTCTTCTTCATAAGTAAGACGATAAAGATAAGTACCTTTTCAATTAAATATTAGAAAGATGAATTTCTTTTTTTAAAATTACTGGGTAGTTAAAAAATATCTAAAAAATGGCATTTATGCTGTATTCGTCATGTAATTCTACTACAAGTACTTCCCTCCTTACATAAATCTTGTAAACATCAGGTTATCGATAACACCTCATAAAAACACCTACTGTGTTAAAAAATTGCTTTGCTGCGATATTTTAAACTAAAAGCAAATATTAGTTTTAATTCAAATTAATTGAACTTTAATTATTTTCCCCAAAGATGCAGAAATGTATTTTATTTTTTAATGATTTTTTTTAAAGATTTATGTTATGTTGATATGTCAATATGGATAAATTTAGCGATTTGATTGATAATTAAGGTAAATTTGCTTTTTAACACCCGCGCTAAATATCTCTTAAAATGTTCCCAAATCGTCATAATTCCGTGTAAATGTACATGCTGAACTCGAATTAACAATTAAATTATGAAGAAACCTACCCTTTTGGAGTTATCGACAATAAAAGTTCGAACTCAGTCGCGTTCAGCTGTCGGCCATTACTGGCCTTGTATTGACGGCAGAACATTTAGCGCGCGGAGGTTTAAATAAGAGCCTTTTTACTGTTCTTAACTGAATTTACTCGTTTAAAATTACTCCGCATAATTTACCATAATTAAAACAAATTCCAATCTATTTAAATTTGTTTTGAAATACAACAAATTGATGGATTCGTTTCCTACGGCTTATTTAAAGCCAGAAAATATTTGAGATTTAAGTTGTTTTTTTTCCGATAATGATTTCATGATACAAGTCCTACTAATTAACTCATAACTAGAGGGGGAGAAGAGGTGGATCCATATCTTTCCCAAGGGTGTTTGAGCCCCAAATGAAGATAACGAACCCAACTGAAATTTAAAACTCTGCTCTCCGATTAACAATTGCGATCCATTATCCATTACACCACCCGCGCATCCAAGCATATAACACCTGGAATTCCCAAGCGGTCACCCATCTAGGTACTTACGAGGCTCGACTTTGCTTAACTTCGGTCATCTTACTGGAACTGGTGTTTCAAGAAATACAGTAAAGTATTTTGTTTATTGGAAATATTAAATTTAATCTATTAACTTGAAATTAAGACTAAATTAAAAGCTTCAAGAAAGATTTTAAAAATTAATTTTAATCCATAGGTATCGCTTTTGGTGTTTGTGTGTGTATATATATATATATATATATTGTAACCCGGATATAAGAGAGATTTTCTCTGGTCCCAAATTAGAGCCTGTGTTAATGTATACATATAGACCAAACCCGGATATAAGAGACTTCGTCTCCGGTCCCGACAACTCTCTTATATCCGGGTTACACTATATATATATATATATATATATATATATATATCAATAAAATTGGGACAGTTTGTTTCATGCTTAAATTCAATCTTCAGGCAATATATGTCAAATAAAATTAAAGGTTCACTAAACTTTTGTCTACTCGGAATTTCGGAGATTGCTTCAATCAATCAGCAGATTTCATTATTATTCCGAGTCGGGGTAAGATAAGTGAACATTTCATTTCTGACTTAATGATCTAACACGATATTGGTGGATTACTTTAAGTTGAAAGTCTTACAGTTATTATATTGAGAAAGTAGGAAAAGTCGTATATATTGGGCTTGGAATGGTCATTACACGGTAAACCATCGATATATATATATATATATATATATATATATATATAGAGAGAGAGAGAGAGAGAGAGAGAGAAACCATATATATATGCACTAACCAGTACTGAACTAGCATTCTCTCTTTTTATGATGAAAGAAGAAAAATTTTTTCATCCAACTGATTTCTCGTGGGGTGTTGAATAAAATAAAATTTAAAACAAATGATACTTTAAGTCAAGTGTTAAGATTCCATTAACAAATTGTAGCGAGATTATATAATACGTGATCCTTGCAGACGAGATTGCTGTTAACCACCAATTTGTAAAGGCTTTCATTTGGTTTGGTTTACGGCATATCAACTACAATGGGTTATTTAATGCCGACAATATTTTCCTCTAGAAATGTATTGCTGGTAATAATTTTGACAGAGTATTTCTGGTATGAACACCCACTTTTACACTTTCATAATGTCTTGACCAGAGTTTGGGATTTTTTGGGAGGTAAATATTTACCCATGGTTGGGACCCTAATAAGTGCTATCACGCTCCCCAAAACCTCCTGATCAGAGGCCTTGCTGTTGGACATAGTTTATCGTCATACCCACAATGGCAATTTGTAGAGGGTTCTGTTTTGATGCGGTTGTTTAAAAATCATGACAAAGATCTAATAAATGAATAAATCCAGGACGAGGATTAAAGGTGTATCCTTTGTTTCCTGTTTAGGGTTGGGTTCCCAGTTCTTTCGACTCTCTATGTCTGACATATCCATCTGAAATTTTATTCAGTAATTTTCCACCTCTCTATCAATAGGAGTAGATATGTTCATCTATTGTCCGGTTCATACTCCTCCCTAGGCTTTTGAACCTCATACCTTAAGTGGCCTTTATACTGAGTGAACATTAGTTCAAAAAAAAAAAAAAAAAAAAAAAAAAAAATCAAATTTCAATACATGAAAGAATTTTTTGAAGTCTATGAGAAGAACAGTATAACTCACAAAAGAGAAAGAAAATTATATTTACGCTTGAACAGGTAGCATAAAAGGGGGAAAAAAAAAGGTAAATTTTTATTATTACAACCGCCTGCCTAACCCTGCCGAAAACAGATTAAGTCACTGCAGCACAGTTCTGAGGGTCCATAATAATTTTTTTTTAAGCGTTTCACCCAAAGCAAGACGGGAAGCCACTAGGACGCAAGGGGTTACAGAAGATTTGGAGCAAGATCAGATAGGAGTGATAGAGGAAAAGATGAGGAGAAGGACAGTCGATAGATCAAGGCAACTGGAGATGTCGATTGACATTACATTTAGATAGTTGGAGATTATAGCTGTCAGGTAAACAGGAATAGGGAAGGGAGTTCCACAGGCGAGAGGTGCGAGATATGAAGCTATTGGAGTAGAAGAGACGGCTACATTTAATAGTTTCAACAGTGAAAGGGTGAGAGCGGGATACCAGTCTCGTAGGGCGGTTGAATTCATGAAGTCTGGGAACCAGCGAATGCAGCTCCTCGGAGCACTTACAATGAAAGTATTTGTAAAAAAGACAGAGAAAGGTGACAGCGCGTCCGTGAGAGAGTGTCTGTAGACGAGATGCCAGATCAGGGCCAATTATATTGCATATCCGCCTCTGGAGCTTATCAAGAACCCCGAGGCAAACAGAAGGGACTCCAGACCATATATGGCAGCAATACTCCATATAAGGGCGAATGGTTGATTTGTAGATCTGGAGGATAGATTCCGGGGAGAAAAATTTCCTGGCGCGGCACAGGGAGCCCATTTTCCTTCCGGTGAACGAAGCAATTGACTCAATGTATTTGTTCCATCTCAGGTCAGCCGTCAACATGAGACCGAGCAGCTGCAGAGAGGTGCTCTCGAGAAGTTGAGCGTCAGACATTCTAAAATTAGGTACCTCCACGAAATCGCTCAAAAAAAAAAAAAAAAAAAAAAAAAAAGCATAGCTTGATGAAAAAGACGCCAACCTTGCCGAAAACAAACTTTTATTGTCTAAATGCTTGTTATTATTAAGAGGAAAGACCAAAGTTTTTTTTTTTTTTTAATTATTTTTAAAAATTTTCCTTCTTTTAGAACATTCTAAATTTTGATTAAAAAAACCTTGTTTCTATTTGTATCAGCGGAACTAGTAAATAACAGACAATTTTAGCACGTTTTTTGGTATGACACACATTAATTTGAAAAATCGTGCAAAAAAAATAGAAATAATTATCGGATGTTAATGAAACTTTCAGGAACTATTCACAGATGATCGAAATTATTATAAATTTTTTTTTATGAAAGTCATGGTAGAAATATGTTTTAAAAAATATTTATTACCCCCCATAACTAATTTTATGAAAACGCTAGAAATTCGATCGCATAGGTTTTAGTGATTACAATAATTAAAAAAGCACAGGGCTTTGAGGAATGCAAATCATGTTTTTTTTGTTTTTAATTGGATACGCAGTACCTGAAAATCAGCTCTGAATTGTAACATACAAAACTCAATAAAACAAAGATATTATTTAATTTCAAATGCTTTTATTGGCTTTTCGTTGTTTTTATGAATATGGACAATATTTTCTGAAAGCAAAAACATTTTTTCGATGAAAAATGAATTTTTAATACAATTATTTGTTATTTCATTAATTATAATAGATTTTACATTTAAGTTGTTAAAATATTATAAAATTAGTTAAAAGCCGCATCGGCTTTCATAAGTGTCCTTATGAGATAGATCTTTTTTTAGCGCGTTGTAAATTGTATCATTTTGACTAATCAGAAGATCCCCAGTAATTAAGAAATGTAATTTTGTGCTTATAATCGAGCTGTAATTATAAAATACGGAAGACCAACCAGAATATAATTAAGTTGCGTTATTTGAGTTAAGCATTGTTCTCCGCTGTTAAGGCCTTTACTTTTGCGAAACACGTGTGGAGAAGTTAATTTGATTTTTCAATTTCAACTGAGAAGGGTACCTACAAGTATCAGTATCATCTTATGAAATTTATATGATCTTATTTTTATATTAATCTCAGTTACGACATTTTTCCATAAATGAAATATCAAAATTAATACCTATCTAAAATCGTTAATAAAGAGACATTTTTAATAGTAAAATTAAAATAATAACAAGAAAAGTTATTTAGCCGTAGTGGTAGATTTGAAAGTAACTAATCGGTTTACCGGGATGGAAGAAATCTTAAGTGGATGTTTCACCTTTTCATTTTACCGTTTTTTTTTTGTATTTATTCCAAGTATCTTTCTTTTGTAGATATATTTACGTAAACTTATACGAAATAAGGGTATTTGGATTACATTCAATAAACATATTAAAATGAAGATCGGCAATAATAAATTCCAATACAAAGCCCCATTATATTCCTATTATAAACTAAGGCCCATTATATTCCTATTATAAACTGAACCCAATTTTAGAACGATTACAGTCACAAAGAACTAAATACCAAATACCAAACCACGCCTCTTGAGGACTTTCAACAAGTAAAATCGATAGAAAATGTAATTCAATGATAATAATGACAATCAAGAAGCTTACGTTCCACACTTTTCTTTTTTATGTGCCATGTCCTTTCAGGACGTAGGCGATCATGGCTCTCCACCTCCCTCTATCCCTTACAGCTCTCAACGAATTCCTTTCCTCTGCTTCCTCCTCCAGACTACGTTCTATCATCCAGTTGCTTAAGTCCGCCAGGTATGTCACGCGTTGTTTTCCCTTGTCTTTCTTTCTCTCTATTCGACCCGTGAATATCAGATTCTCTAGGCCCTCCTTCCTCATTATGTGTCCTAGAAACATCAGCTGCCTCTTCCTGTTGGTAAATATAAGCCTCTTCCTTGTTTGCATCTTCTCTAAGACCTCATCGTTGATCACACCCTTGGTCCATGATATCCTTAGTATCCTTCTGTAGAACCACATTTCAGTCGCTGTAAAGGACAGATGTCACGTAACAGTTCAGTATTCTTTTCTTTGTTATCAAAGATATCTTCCTGTCTCGCAGTATTCTGCCCAACTTTTGGAATGTGTACTTCAAACAAAAGGTTAGGAAAGAAATCCTCATCAATACTAGAAAGAGCGATAACAGTTACTGGACTTAAGAAGCCTTTTTTCCTGTAAAAAAAATATTTTTAAGTTTTTTTTTTTTTTAAGAAATCTCAACCGACGGTAGCACTGGCTGCTCGGTTATTGAATGTCGATTGTTTACTTATACAGAAACGGTTAATATGGCCATTATAGTCCCAAAGATTGATTTTTCTCAAAAAGAAAAAAAAACTTTTGAAAGTAATGAATCGTATTTGAACACAAAATACACAAGAAAAAAAAAAATCTATTTTCATAAAAAGTTTTACTTCATTTAAGTGAATGTTAACCAGAAAAAAAAAATGAAAATTTACCTTG